TTTTGTTTATCAAAAAAATTACTTTTCCTCTTTTCGTCGGTTCCCACCTTAGAGGCTTTTTGGTTAAAATTAAAGTCGGGAACCGACATGGCTTCTTCCGCTATGATATGCTGTTGGGCTCGAGCGAGAAATTCTTGAAACGTATTCGGTTTATTTTGGCATAACGTCCAGCGGAAAATCGAGTTTGGCTTCAACCCAGCAATGGCCATAACAAGCAAAGTTTCTGGATGACAGGGCTCCATATTTTGAACTCGGTCGTTGAAGCGGGCGATGTAGTCTTTCACGCTTTCATCATCTTTTTGGGTAATGTTGGCAAGAGACTCTTTCGGGATGAGACATACTTGGGCCCCAATAAAATGAGATCGGAACGCCGACCTCAATTGTTGCCATTTCTAAATCGAGTGTGGAGGAAGAGAATGGTACCATTTCTGGGCTCGAGGCCCCAATGCTAGTGAAAACATGCGACACCGAAGTGCATCTGTCGCTCCATGCAGGCCCATCCATGAGGTGTAATGACCGAGGTGCGAATCCGGGTCGGATGTTCCATCATATAGCCCGATTTGGGGAACCTTGACTTTTCCGGGGACTGGTTCCGAAGTAAGTTCCGGAGTAAGTGGAGAATCGGCTTCCAAATATACCTGAGCCGAGGTAGAGGCCCGCCGAGGTGGGTCCTCAGGTACCCGTTGTCGACTTTCCAATTCGGCAATCCGTCGTCGTAGTGTTTCAAGTTCGGACGACTCTTGGCGAGCCCGATTCCGTTCAATATGTTGTCGGAGGTCGGTTTGCGCCGGATTGGAAGGATGTCGGTGTGGCTCACGAGGTGGTGTTCGCCGTAAATGACCCGACTGACTCTCTGCAGTTTCTTCTTGGGGAAGCACGGGAGGATTTCGTTCGGCGTCAGCGCGTCGCGTATTTTGTTCCGGAGGCGGTTGTGACAGTCGATCACGAGGTTGAGATGTAGCATGAGATGTTGTCCTCCCGCCATCTTGTCGCGCCGGCAAAGTTTGTCGGTTTGCTGGGGTCGTGGGAATGATGGAGTGTCCTGGAGCCGTCGTCGATGTTCCTGGCATCGTCTGGGCCATTAACGCGGCAAAACCTCGCGCAAATTCCGGATTTTGAAACAGAACAGCGTAATCTGGTGTAGGTGGAACCACGGCTTGCCGTCTAGCGGATTGCCCGGCGCTGCGACTGTGGCCGTCTCGTGACGTGTGACCACGATGATCTGAGTGAGACATGGTGGATATGGCTGATATGCAACGTTTCGTGAAAATGCGGAGATTAACCTCAAATCACTTATGAGGCCCTTCCTCTAGCGCCAAACTGTCGTTATGTAATTCTTAACAACGATGTAATATATGATTAAGTGAGTACTTTGGAATGATTTGAACGTAAAGCATGTAAGATTGAACCAACAATGGCCCCGGTCCGAGGTGAACCGAGGTGAAGAGCCGTGATGGGCTTTTTCGTGTTACGTAATAAAGGGTTTACAGTTCGGTGATGTTTAGAAAAACCCCGCCCCCTTTACAATTGTCATAGGTCCGCTATTTATAGTAGTTTTGGGTTGAGACATTGGGATCTGTGTACTACTTTTTGAATAAAGTGGCTTTTTATGGGCGGTTCGAGGCAGGGGGTCCCACGTAAATGATGACAGATCTCGTGGTGTAGGAGAGCCTCTCGTAGACGCCTTGTCACCTGCTTAAGGAGGTGACGACCTCGGTTCATGTTGTCCTCGGTGGATGTCGAACTCGGTAATCGTCGATCACTTCGGTCTTTGGTGGTTCAGACCGGTTCTTTGGTGTAGATCGGTGCGGTTATGACTCATGTCGGTTTAACTGTTAATCGCGTTTAATAGGATGCTTAAAACCTCTTAACAGCGTCTTGCCGAGTCGGATGATAACACCAATCCTTCGAGATATTCCAGATCTTCCAGATCTAACTCATCCAATG